ATAATGACCTTTATCACAATATGCTAATTTTTTGAGAAGGACCTGTATTATCTGGGAGTTCAAATACTTCTTTAAAAAGTCTTCAGTTAATCCAAAATGCTGCTGCCAGAAGAAGTCCTTCAGATGAAGGACGAAACGTCTCAGCAAAAAAAAAAGAAACCACCCAGATGACCTGACTGAACATTGTTGGATTATTACCTGGATTATTGAGCATGAACTTTGGTGCTACTGCCAGAGTCTTAACTGGAGTTAGTAGCAGAGATCATCTCCAGTTTCAGCTTCTCTCCAGTGACTCCCTGTCAAATTCAGAACTGAATACAAAATCTTATTTCTAACCTACAAAGCCCTCAACAACCTAGCTCCATCTTATATTAGAGACCTTATTGTTCCATATTTTCCTAACAGAGCACTTTGCTCTCAGACTGGAGGTTTACTTGTGGTTCCTAGAGTTTCCAAAAGCAGAATGGGAGGAAGATCTTTCAGTTATCAGGTTCTTCTCTTGTGGAACCAACTTCCAGTTTCTGTCCATGAGGCTGACACTTTGTCCAGTTTTAAGACTGGGCTGAAGACTTTCTTTTATGATAAATCCTATAGTTAGAGCAGGTTTGTTATGCTGCCATAAACTTAGACTACTAGGACAAATTGACCTCATTTCTTAAAATGAATTGGAAAAATTTAATAGTTTTCATTTGATACTTTTTCCATCTTAATTTGAATCATTAGATTTTTTTTCAGATGAGCTCTGACTGTTTGACATTAGTTGACAAATGGCGTTTGAAGGAGAATCTCCAAAATGTCCCAAAATGTTTATTTGGGTGTTTTCAATATTCATGTAAGACACAAAGGTTCTCAGTATTTTCACTTGAATTTTAATCATGAAAAAGAAAAAAATCTGCAACAAAATTTCTCTTAAAATAATCAGCTGTCATGGACGGCTTGAACCCACTTAATTGCATTAGTGTTGTGTTTTGACCCCTGCTCCTTTAACATTCAAGGCTACAGCTCTGACTGTCTAAATCTAAAACCACTCAAGTTAGTCAAGAAGGGGTCCCAAATCTCTAAAGTGTACTCGAGTAGATGAAATCAGAAACTTGGGCGTGGTTGCCAAGGTGGGTACCTTAGGCAGGTATGACCTGGATGGAGGCAGGAAATGAAATAATGTGCGTTGCCCAATATAGTTTTGCAAACTGTGCTTCTGAAATTAGGAGGTTTCAAAAACCAGTCACACAAAACAACTGCATGGCTCACCGGTCGGTTGCAAGCATTCAGGATTCAACGGGACTGCAGGTTTTTCACGAGTTTGAGTCGCCAACTAGTCTCTAACAACAGCAGCAGACAGATTACTTTCAGTGGGATCAGGTGATGACTTTTAAACCACCAAACATGTGATGAGAACTTTTAAAAGCTGCAACTTTGCACAGTTGACCACAGGGATAAGTTCTCTCTCCGTGTCCGTTTGCTCTGTACACCAATGAGCTTTGCTCTATCGAATGGTGATGATGACATCACCATTCGGGCCCTCATCACCAGCGATGATGAAACTGCCTACAGGAAGTGCATTTCAGAGCGGACAGTGTGGCGTACAGAAAATAACCTGGAATTAAACGTCAGCAAAATAACTGAGACGACCATTGACGTTCAGAAAAATCCCCCTCCATGTCCTCCTGTCACTGCTGCGAGGAACTCCATCACTAACCATCTGAAATGGACAGAAAACTCAAATACGGTTAAGGCGGCTCACAGCATGTACTTAGTGTGCCTTTAAATCAAACATTCTAGTGCACATATGTCAAACTCAAGGCCAAATGTGGCCCTCGTGGACATCTTATCTGGCCCCCCAAGATGATATTTTAAACGTAAAACACTTTTTTCACTTGAATTTTTTCAGTAATCTTTGATTATGATGTCAAAAGTGCAACAGAGAACATGAAATGAGACCAATCAAACTCTTTTTGAGGAAGCTACAACCAACAAAGATGTTGAGTGTCCGATTCGAGTTAATGTAGATTCTGAAACCGGCACTTAGTTTGAAAATTTTTTTAATTTTGGCCCCCTTTTCTAAGTGAGTTTGACACCCCTGTTCTAGTGCAAGCCCGGTTCTAAACACCATCAAGTGTCCTGACCTGAATTTCAGTATTTTATTCTGGCTCCAGAGCAGAGGGGGCGCGATGGAGCAGAGGTTAGAGAAGTGAACCTGTGAACAGGATGTTCAAACCCCCCTGCTGCCCATAACATCAAAATGTGTGAAGATAAATCACCCTCATTTGCCCTAAAGCAACCCCATCTGCTCCCTCGTGCTGCTCTAGATGGCAGAGCACCACAGAGGGCTGTGGTAGCTCGTGGTCTGAGGTTGTGACAGGAAGGGCATCTGGTGCAAAAAAATTTTTTTTAAATGGACAAAATTCTTAAGTGAGTTTGCTCGCTGTGGTGAAACCCTGAAGAAGTGAGCAGCCGAAAGAAGAAAAATAAATTCTGGCTTCACTGCCCACACTAAACAACGTGATGGCCTCATCAAGCTGGGCGGTAAACACCAACAGCAAAGGACTCAACACACCTGGAACAGTTCTGGACTGTCAGACCAAAATCAGTGTTTTTGTCCCACTTCAGTCTCCCCTTCCTAAATGTTCCTGCACTGCAACCAGGAGAAGGTCCAGCGTCTGGATCCCTGAACATTTCACTAAATAAATGTGTTGTCTTGTGATTAATGTGAGGCGTGATGTGTACGCTGAAATAAACTTGGGAGTGCAGGACTGGTTTTATTTTAACTTTCTGGTCCCAAATGAGCTGTGGTATTTACAAAAACAAAAAAATAATAATACAAAAACGTACAAATCATACGATGATTTGTTTAGAACAAGGTTACAAAGTGCCTTTTTTATTACTGTTCTCCTCCTAAAGTAGTTTTTCAGGTTCTGTTCAAAACAATAGATTAATGGACATTAAAAACAAGTCACTGTAATCAAAGTGTTCACTTAATGAATGAGGCTTTAACAGACAAATTTACTGTGGTCAGAGTGGATATTTCCAGAAGTTATAATTGTTGATGTTTTAATTTACCTCTTTTAAACAGCTTTGGAAACAAGCAGCATTATTAAAGAACCCACAAATACCCACATGTGAAGTAATGTTTTTTTTCTACTATATATATATATATATATTTTTTTTTAATTAAGGTAATAATAGTTTAGAACAAAATCTTGAGTGATTACAGCGACTTATTTAAAATATTACAAGTACTGTATCAAAACGAACCTGAAAAAAGAAGTCTGCTTTAGCTCCACCCCCTGCGTCTCCTATAGCCGGTAAAAGTGGGAACAAAAACAAGAGGAGAACAAGCCCCACCGCCTCTCCAATGGTCCCCTGAAACTCCTCCATCTACGACATCAAGAACCTGAAACCAACGTCTCGGAGTCAAACCAGCACAGATCCAGTTCTGGTTGGAGTCCCAGCACCTAAAGTCTAATGTGCTGATCAGATCAGCAACAATCTGAGATACTTATGTCGTCAAATCTCCCCCGAAGTGTTCATCGTCCGAACGAATACAACAGGGAGTAATCAACAGTGTAACGTCACCAGCAGGTGAAACAATATGTCAGTTTAAAAGTTTCATTCTTGATACATCTGGGGGGAAAAAAAAAAACAGTCTTGAAACAGCTGGAGGAGCCAGATCCATCACCATGTTGGTTTGGAGGAGATCCCCATGCAGGGAGATCTGCTGCACAGTTCAGGTGAGTGAATCCTTCAGGCTAGCAGATAAAATCAAGCTGTCCTCTGCTGTTTGGCCTTTATTAGTTTAAACGTCACGAGTCCAGCAGCCGCAGTCACTCCAGCACCGACACGCTGTTAGTCTGGCATGTCGATGCAGAGCTTAGGCGGCGGGACAAAGTACTTCCCGGGGCTCTGTGTGATCACCACACCGGTCTTTTTGTGGAACATGGGGGCGCTCTTTGGTGGCGGCTCGGGGACGGGAAGATCCTCAATCGCCTCGGGGTCCTCGCTGCGTTGCAGGTCGTAGGACACGTTACCGTATTCTCTCAGGAAGGGAAGGAGCTCTAACAAGAAGTGGCAGAAATCCTTACGGATGCCGAACCACCCTGAAGGAAGAGCAGGAGTAAAGTTAGCTGTGCTAACTAAAACCGCAACAATAATCCAGTCAATGTTAGAAACGTTGCATTTCTTCTGTGTTATTGATACATTAATGCATCAGTAGATATCACATAGAAAATGTGAGCTGGTCATTTCAAAAATAAAAGTTCAGTAAACTTGATATTTTGTCTATTTCTTTTAGCCGTCTTTAAATACTCACAGTGGTTTCCTCCTTTTTGGCCGAAGGTGGTGGCCAGGAGTGTGAGCAGGGAGAGCCACAGGGGGACGAACACACACACGTAGCTGAGACTGTTGTGACCATCCAGCTTGTGCACCAGAAGGATCTGAAGAGACAAAGATCAGGGTCAAAACTGTAACGTTACTGCATTATTCTTTCTTCTATCGGCTGCTGCCTTCTTCTGGGATCACCACAGTGAACTACCTCCCACGAAGACTTGGCAATTATTTTGTACACCAGATGTCCTCTCTGATGCAACCACAAACCACTGAGCTACCACAGCCCTCCGTGTGGAGCAGAGCTGCTGTCTAGGGTACCTGGGGGAGCAGATGGTGGTTAAGGGCCAAGCAATACATCTGGAATGTGCTTTTTTTTTTTTCACAAGTATGAATTTACCACAAAAGCTCTGCAACAAGAGATAAAATATACTGACAAAATGCAAATCAACTTAATAAAACGGTGCTTTATTGTCCCTCTTTTAGTAACAGCGAACAAAGTGAGTTTTTGTTTAAACTGTTCACCTCAAACGTGAGAAGAGGTACAACAATGGTCATCCAGCTGATCGCCATGGTGATGTGAGTTCTCCGTTGCTCGGCGATGATGTCTATGGAGCGCAGGAAGAGGACTGACCAGATGATGTAGTAGAGGACAACGAGGCACAAGAAGGACATGAGGATCCACAGAGGGACACAAACCACCTGCAGACACAAGACAGACATCTTACGTTGTAAAAGTGTAATGAATAAATACAGCATGCATGCAGACCACATGCACGTGTTGAGTGAAAATGATACGTTTGTGGGTTTGTGGTTCTTACCAGCCAAGGCCACTTGATGATCCCGTCGAGCCTTAAAGCGATAAAGATGAACTGCAGAATATTTACTGAACACAACACCTCCAGCTGAGAAAAACACATGAAGAGGGATTAACAGAATATTCACAATACTCTTAAACTTCAACTGCTCGATTAACCAGCTACAAAACTAAATCAGAGCTGTAATGGCAACCAGTTAAATATTTTTTTTATTTGATCAAAAAGATAATTAATTCATTTAATGATTAAAACTTGTCACAGGATCGCCTTTTCTTTGTATTAAATCTAAATAAACTATGCTTTAACGTTTTAAATTGTAAAACACACAACAAAAGACCATCATGCTGCATTATGATGTACCGTAATTTCCGAGCACCTAAATATAAGCTGTACAAACTAAATAAAAAAAACTAAAGTAAATCTTGTACATTCATTCAACCTTTATTTATACAGGTTAATCCCATTGAGCCTTAGGGACTCATTTACAAGACAAGCCTGAATTTTAACAAAGGGTGATGACACACATATAGGCCAAACTTGTCTATAAGCCACAGGTGTCCATATTGTAACATGTGATATTTACACAGAAAGACTGTCAACTTTTAATTAAACACTGTAGTGTGGCAGCACACAGCTAGTGTCTTGTTGTAGATCAAGAATCAACCACCAGATGGCGAGCTATACTTTATTTTACTGTTCAACACACGCACACACACACACACACACACACACACACACACACACACACACACAGAGTGAAGCCCACAGGTCTTCATGAAACTACCTCCCTCACTCATGGTTACTCTACTGAAAGGCCTAACACAACTAACACATAATGAACACAAACTAGGCTAACAAGAACAGACTAACCACTAACAGAACAATGCAAATCAGCTAACCGAAATGATTAACAACGAAGATTAATTTTAACCATAATCCCTCCCTGAGGTCATGTGACCCCATGCTCCGCAGAGCAAAAGTTGCTCTGCGCATGCAGGAGAGTCCCCTCTCCCGTTTCCTTTGTTCGACTGTGACCTGTTCAGTAATTTTATTGGTAAGATTATTATTTTTTTAATATTTATTTATACAGGTAGTCTCATTGAGTCATGAGGACCCCGACCCCTCAACAGAGACGTGTATTGGGCAGGTATGTGAGCGCCCGGGTGTGACAAGGCTAAATGTTTTGGTGGTTAAACCGTAAAAAAAAAATCCATAAATTAGCCGCAGTATTGTATAAGCTGCGGTGCTCAAAGCGTGTGAAAAACGTAACGGCTTATAGACCGGAAATTACGGTAAGATTTTGTGGTGAAAATGTCTCAATATTTACCAATAAATTTTCTAAAAAGACATCTAGCAGATAACTAAAACTGACATGAGTATCTGTAGCACAGTTTGTACTACAGTGTACAAGAATAGATCAAATAGACCCATTTTGTTCCAATTAACTTTCTCTAATCTAAGAATTAGGCATAAAATACCTTCTGGAGAAAAAAAAATTAAAAGATAAATTAAACTATAGTGTTTGCAGCTTTGTCCTCCTGCTCAGACAGCAAAGTGTCTGATTTCTTACCTCAAGGGAGCGATCGTGTCTAAAGCCCCAGACACAGGCTGCTACAGAAACAGGGGACACGAAGAAGAGAGGCATGAAGACAAGGAGCCAGAAGTAGTCTCCCCTCGCCACACGGTCACAAACCAACACTTCAAACATCAGCAGCAGGACGTGGAGCCCTACAGCGATCAGCATGGCTTTGAATTCCACGCACGTCTCTCCTTCAGCCCTGAGAAGGGACACAAAAATCACTTTATTCTGACAGAATAAACTTACACTGGTAATAAGACACTATTCATATACAACACTGTATGTTAGAATAATAATACCACTGAAATAAGTATGTACACACAAATGACTGGACAAACACACAAGTTTATGCACACTAATAAATATTATTTTCTGTACATTATATTCCTGGGAGAAAACACGTGGAACCGGCATTGTTAAATTCTAAAATATTACTTGATACTGCTAAAAATAAGTATTGCCAGCACAATATTGTTATTGTCCATCTTTAAAATAATACAGACTTTGACCAATTTACAATTATAAATAGGCCTAATCACACAGACAAGCCATCCAGGTATATTTAGATGGTTGCCCTCAGCTGCTTTGTTATTACCGACTGTAATTCCCAAAGGAAACATGTGATCCTGTGTGCGAGTCTACCTGTACTGAGGGTTGTGAGCCCACACTCCGGTGCCCACAGAAGCCCCGATGATCACCAACAGCTTCCACAGCCATATTGGGGTGAAAACAGCCCAGTAGCTCCACTGAATGACTCCATCCAGCCTCAAGGAGAGCAACATGGAGAACAGCAGCAGGCAGGAATAGATCAGGAACTTACTGCAACAGAGGGAGGAGAGCCAGGAAGGATAAATGATAAATTACTTCTGGACATTTTAAATTATTAATTATTAACATAACAACAGGCAAACCGTAGAAGAGGCACACATATTGAGGATGGCGTCGGCTGCCTTACAGAGGGAGCTCTTGGTCTCCTCAGGCAGGTCTGCAGCCTCCAGCCTCTTGGACATGCTATATGCTAGCAGTGCCACGTTGTTGTTAGCTGCGGCTGCCTGAAAAGCACATTGATGGGCTCGATTGGAGAGCGTGGTCACGTCTGGTCGTGTTTCCCAGGAGGGACGGGATGCTGCTCCAACCTGGACAGCTTTGCTCCGAAAGCTTCTGCGAGGCTTGGCTCAAGTGGGGTTACCGAGGGATAGCCCCGCTCGGTGAACCCCTCCACTCTGGTGATGGGTGCGGACTGTGGAGACCGGCTCCCCCAATCCACCAGGAAAGAACCGTCTGTGGCCTCGCCCGTAGGACGTCCTGTTGGAACACGAGGCCATATGGATCAAGACGGTGAGCTGGAATGGAACCCAGTAAACAACCTTCCCGCCGGATCATCTGAACTGGCGGGAAAGGCGTGGGACGTAGAAAAAAGGGGTCCCTTCATGTCAGCCGCCTCCTGGGTTACGCCGGGCAACCCCTGAGGGCGCCGTCGGCCGGGAGCGGTGTGATCGCCGATGCGAAACGAGGTGGGATGGGGTGAGCATTCACTCAGCCCCCCTCCACCGACACTACGCTCTCCAGGAGGGAATGAGCAGCGGGGGTTGCAGCTGAGCGCGCCTGTCCCGGAGGAACCATCCGATTCGCTCCGAGGGATCGGCGATAAGAGGAAAATTACAAGATGGCGTTGTCCAGCGCGTAGTGACCTGTCACTGAGAAATATTCCTCGGCGCTTACCTTGAAATAAGACTGCTCGTCAGCTTCTCCTCGGGGGGGAGAACTCACCGGACGACCGGAGGTCGACTGCCGGGCCAAGCATCCTTAACAAAGGTTGGTCATCTACACAATTTTCCTTCTTTGTTCTTATGACAGTGCTATTAGCTCGCTGAAGAATAAATGGGAGCCGATTTCCCGCTCTTAACGTAATTTATACGGACCGGGTGGGGCCCACACAGCAGGTGGGCATGGACTAAATTTTTCAGTGCAATGCTCCGCATAACGGGATAAACCCACCAAGCGACAGCCTTAAAGGGCGAAGCTTATACGAAATAGTACTTCACGTTCGGAGCCTCTTAATTTTGCGGCTAGCGGCCATATTTATTTAACTGTTAAACTTTACTTTAAAAGTGATGCTAACCGTATGTAAAGAAAATGTAACGTGAGACTAGAGTGTAAGTTTGTTACAGTAAACAAAACATACACATAACTGTACATTTAACATGA